TATATATATATATAAATGAGATTCTTTTATTCTATAAATAAATTTATTCTGTTTAATAACTTATATTCTAGATCAAATTTTAATAATTTTAAATTTATTTTATTTAATAATTTATATTTTATTAAATTTCACATCTATTAAAATTAAGTTGTTGAATATTATATAAGTAAAAAAAAATTATTTATCATAAATTATGATATGGTATGAATTTGCTTATATAATTTACTTATTATTTATAAATAAAATATTCTAAAAAATATTTAAAACTCTCCAACTTAACATTATAAGTGTGGATGAGAAAGTAATATAATCACATGCATTCAAATTTGTATTAAGAAGAATATTTTGAAGGCGGAATCTTGCACTTAAAAATATGACTTGACACATTGTTATCTTGCAGGCTTTTTAAGTCTCAAGGTTGTGAATCTGAACTAAGTATCTGAATGCATTATGACACGCCTACAGTAGACATTGGAAAAAGAGATTGGATGGGAGGGACCAAGACCAACCAAGGGGTGGAAGGTCATATTTATTTCGAATATTCCAAAATCCAACGTAACTAAACCAATCCAAAATCAAAACCCACCTCTCTCCAACGCCACACGTACCATGGCCTCTGACCCAGAGAAGCCGGTCACAGCCGCAGCCACCCAAGACGAAGATGACGTGTCACCCATCGAGGAGGTTCGCCTGACGGTGACCAACACCGACGACCCGACCCAACCGGTATGGACCTTCCGCATGTGGTTCTTGGGCCTTCTCTCATGCTCCCTCCTCTCCTTCCTCAACCAGTTCTTCGCGTACCGGACCGAGCCTCTCATCATAACCCAAATCACCGTCCAGGTCGCTACCCTCCCTATTGGCCACTTCATGGCCTTGCTTCTGCCCAAAACCAAGTTCACTCTCCCTGTCCCTGGGCTCGGGTCCAAATCCTTCTCCTTCAACCCGGGCCCGTTTAACATGAAGGAGCACGTGCTTATTACCATATTCGCCAATGCCGGAAGCGCCTTCGGATCCGGGTCGCCCTACGCCGTGGGTATCGTTAACATTATCAAAGCCTTTTACGGACGCAGCATCTCCTTCGTTGCTTCCTGGCTTCTCATCATTACAACTCAAGTTAGTATACACTACTTACTGCTCCCCACTTACCACTAATCACTTTCATCATTATTTATCACTTTTCCTTTAATTATTTTTAAACTTTATTACAAAATATATTGCTAATTTTTCTTTTTCACATGTGATTTTTTTTTTATAAAAATAAAAATAATTATAAAAACTAGATTTTATGTTTCTAACTATTTCAACTGATAACTATAAAAATTTACAATTTATCTATAAAAAAAAGTAGTGATAAAAAAGTAGTGCCACTTACATTTATCTCCGCCTCCCGTTTCTGTGCGTCCTTTTCGTGATTATGCTATGATTGTTGTTATTCTAATATTATTTTTCGTAAAAACAAGTCCATACTCCATAGCAATGATAGCATGTTGCCTCCGCCCTCTCATTTTGTAATTTTATTTTACATTTATACTTATATAAATATTTTCTCTCTCTAGGGCCTTTTTTTTTTTTTTTTCTTTTTTCTTTATCAAGTTCATTGTAGCCTTCATTATTGGAAGTTTGAACCTTAGTTCACTATTCTTATTTTTTAATTCCCGTTCAAATAAGAACAAATGAATAATAATCGTACTTTCAAATCATGATTAATTTATTTGTTGAAAATTGAGAATTATATAAAGCTTCCAGAATTCCTTTCAATAATAAAATTCTTTTATTTTTATAATTACCATGTGTAAAATAAGATGTATAATTTTCTAATTTGGAATTAAATATAACTTATCCTAATTACAGAGGTGTCAAATAAGTTACGGTAATTAATTCCTATATATTAAATATATTGAACGAGAGTATTTTTTTTGGAGATTATTTTTCAAGAAAAGAATTTATAGAATTTTTTAAATTTTTTTTATCTAATTCAATTTTTATTTATAATCATTATTTATAAATTAAATATTAATAATTTAAAAAATTATATATTAATAAATAAATACATAATTTTTAATATAAATTATTTATCATAAATTTAAAATATAATTTATATATTCAAACAT